CAAGAAGAGTGTGCTGACTTTCAAAATATTCTCTTTATTCCTCTTTCCAGCTGCCACTGTGTACAAGGGGGAAAAATACATATATATTTCCCACTATCAACTTCACCCCTTCGGCATACGTTCTTGGACACTGCTCCTATTGAGAGATGGGATCTATGTCCTCTCTCCTAGAAACTGAGTGGGTTTTTGTAACTGTTTAAGATCAATAAAGTGCAGTGGAAGTGACATATGTGTCATCCAAGTGTAGGTCATAAAAGTTAATGCAGTTTCTGCTTTGCTCTTGGGAATACTCACTCTTGACCACTCCAGTTGCTGTGTGCACAGCCCAACTGCCCTGAGGCCAGAGTACTAGTAGAAATACCAAATTAACTCCCAAGGAGGCCATGGGGAGAGACCCTGAGACTGCGAGAGAGGTGGCTGAGCAGCCTCTAGCTGCTTCAGCCTTTCCTTCTCCCACTATTCCAGCTCTAGGTACCAACCGCTGGATATTGTTTTAAGCAATTATACTTGGGTTGACTTATTGTATGCACAAGAGCAACAGTCCCTCTTCTTTCCAGTTTGCCACTTTCTTCTGAAGTGCTAGGTTCCTGTTTTTATTTGGCCTCAAAAAATGAAGTGGCTCCATGATTGAGACATAGGAACCAGGAACAGGGGAGTGGATATTAGAATGTAGCATCTGAGCACAGGCCTGTTGATCATATTGTTGTCCCCAGAGCTTCCCATTTGTTGCTGTGTCCAGTGAAACCTTAGCTCTCCTTTGTTTAAGAATGGCTGTCTTCTCCCAACATCCACAGTTCAGAACCTTAACAGACAAAAACTGTGCAAAATAAGTCTAATCTAAATTAGTGTGATGGCAAGGGCCCGGGTTTTGATGCAAAAGTTGTCTTTGGGTTTTTGCCTCACTGCTTGGTTTTGTCGTGGCAAGGAATCACCATCCCTTTGAGCCTCGGTTCTTCCTCTCTGAGCTGGAAACAGTACCTCTCATACCGACTTCACTACGTCATTGAGAAACCCATATGTGATAGCACATTTGAAAACATGTTGTGAATTGTAACACAGTGACCAAACACAAGAGATTATCAATATCACTATCACCAATAAGTTTTTCATTTGCTTTAATTTCCTCATCTGCAACTAGGGAACAATATAGCACTGCTTTCCTCTTACTCTCACCAAAATTTTGCTATAAACACTGACAATAGTATCTAAAGTCACTCAGATTGGGGTGTGGGAGAGGAAAGATCAGGGTGAAATATGTAAAGTAAAATACAGGGTCTCTAGTCAACAAATACACATTGAGTGGCAACTATATTAGGCACTAAGCTAAGATCTTGGGCATACTACAGTCAAGAAGTGGTTCTTGCTCTCAGGGAGATTACTGTCTAGTGGAGTGTTACAGACACATATGAAGTCTATTTCAATACAGTTTATTAAGAGGTAAAATCAGAGAGAGCAACCATCTCCTGGATGGTGATATAGCAAGGTGGTGAGAAGTACAGAGTCTTACCTAGCTGTTTGGGTCTAAATCCTGATTACACCACTTACTGCTGTTTGACCTTGGGAAAGTTATTAAGGTCACTTGCCTCAGTTTCCTCATAGGTAAAAAGAGAATAATAACCTTAAAGAATTGTGAAGGAACTTCATAAGCCAATACATGTAAAGCATTTTATCACAATGTCTAGAACAGAGTAAGTACTCAAAAGTATGAACTATTGTTATTCTTAAATGGTGCTGTGGAACCTATATAGGGTGGAGCCCATAGTTTTCTAGAGGAAAATCAGGGAAGGCTTCCCAGAGGCAGTGACATCTTACCTGAGATCTGAAGTATGATAAGAATTAGCAAGTCAAGAGACAAAGATATTATGAGTGAGGTGAGTATATGCCAGGCAGAAAGAAAACTGTTTCTTTGAAACAGTGCTTTCTCAAACTTTCATGTTCATAAAAATCATCTAGGAATCTTGTAAAGTGCAGATTCTAATATAGTAGCTCTGGAGTGGAACATTTCTAACAAAGTTCCTAGGGAATACTGATGATGCTGGTATCTGTTCTACACTTTCACTCAGTAGCAAGGTTCTAACTGGATGCAAAAGTCTCAGGAGGAAACTATGAGCTATTTAAGAATAGCTGGCACTGCCCTGACTGGTGTTGCTCTGTTGGTTGGGCATAGTCCTGAAAAGTGAAAGGTCACGGGTTCAATTCCTGGCCAGGACACATGCCTAGGTTGTGGGTTCAGTGCCTGATCAAGGTGTGTGCAAGAGGCAACCAATTGATGTTTCCCTCGCACGTTGATATTTCTCTACCTTTCACTCTCCTTCCTTTCCCCTCTCTCTCTCAAAAAAAATAGCTGGCATAAAAATTGTAAGAAATGAGGACTGAGTGACTGTTAGTGGCTATTGTGTTAGGGAAGAGACAGAGTAGGAGAGATGAGATTTGCAATGCTGATCACTGCCTCAGGGGCTAAATCACAAAGGGACTTACAAATGAAGAAAAGGAAGAAATTTAGAGGGAACATGGGTTGGAGGAGACCCACACTAGAATGAGGGGAACAACTAAGAGGCTTTTTCTGTTAAATGATGGTGGCCTGAACTAGGTGGCCTTGTGGATGGAGAGAAGTGGGGGAATTCAAGACCTATAAGAAGATACAATCAACAATTTGGTGATAATTTGCTTTAGGGATGAAGGGAATGCAGAACACAAGAAAAGAGGGGTATGAGGTTGTTGGGTTCATTTCAGCTGCCTACAATCCACATATAATAACAAAGCACATATAGAATAGCTGCTCATCAGTGGTACCCATAGGCAGGGTCTTCTCCATCATAGACGCTCCTGCTACTTTTGGCAATTGTTGACCTGTCTTATTCAAACTACCTTCAAAATCCCTCAGTTTCTACTAACTACTCAAGCCTTAGTAGAGAGAAACAAAACCAAGAAAGTAAATCTGTACTTCAAAATTTAGTACTTTCTTGTTTCATGCTACATGGTGTTTATTGGCCTTCCCAAAGTAGCTATTACTTTGAGGGCAAGGGCAGTGTCACATCTATTGTTTCCATCCCCCACAATGCTGATGGCCAAGTAGGCACTTCATACACACTAGTTGGCTATTTGGTGGAATAACATCTAGATGATTAGATATAAATGTAGTTTATCTCATAAAATGATAAAAAATAATAACATCTTTAAAATGAGTGTTTTATATGCATTATAAATGCCATCATCTTCTTTGGTTCATCAGAATCCTCTGTTGGATTATAACTTGTTTGATTATAGTTTCATTGAATAATTTTTAATAGAATGGAAGCCTATCTCAAGCTCTGTCAAGCTTTACTGTCAAGCTCTACTGCCATCTACTGTTCATGTAGTAAGTTAACATATTGTGCACCCCACCACCTATATTCTTCACGATTCAATGTTTGTTTTCTTCAAATCTCAAGGGTTTTCTATGCTTCAAGCTTCAACCCAGAGTATATGTAATTTTCCAATAGTGTTCAGTATTTTTATAATAATTCAGCACACTTTTAAATTCAGACAGTTTTCTCTCATGGGCAAAAAGTTTATGCCTTTATGGAATATTAAACATTTTAAAATTTAATGGCACAATGATATTTTCATAGGTTTCCCCACCATCCCAAAATAACTAAGATAAAAAGGCAATGAAATTTCTGAAAAATTTTTCCTTACCTCTAGTAGACATCATTAAACTGAACATCTATCTTGGTTACACTCCATTTAGGGTATAAATCTTACTCATCATTCAAGGTCTTCCTTTCAAATGATACCTCCTCCATAAAACTTTCCCTGATTCTTCATTCTGGAATAAATTCTTCCTTCCACAATCAGTAATTGTAATAATAAACCACATAGTGGAAGGACAACAAAAATTCCACAAAAAACTTCTTAAGTCATTTTCCATTATTCCCCCTTCTCTATTGGTCACAGTTTTTCTTTTGCTGACAAATATAATAAAAGGGGCTCTCAGCTGTAACAATATTTACGATGTTGTTCTAAGAACTAAATATTTTTGAAAAGGCAAGGACAGAAGCAGAAACACGTGTTGGATAATCTGATGAAATCTGAGGCAATTTGTCTTTGCTGTGAGACTTCAACCAACTTGCTATACTAGATGGTGAGGATTTCAAAAGTTAGTAAAGTGACAGTAGACCAGGACAAAAACTCCTTGCATATTTCACACCTAATTCCCTATTTTAGAATGAAAAATGTCGTTTTAAAAAAGTAGGGGAGGCACCAAGGAAGGAAAACGTATTTGAGTAACTTTCTGGCATAATTTATGTGTCTGGAAGTAGTTCGGTTGGGTTGTATTTAATGGGGAGGCTGTGCAGTAGTGTTCAAAGACCTAATGGCTTGGGTTTCATAGATCTAAACAGAAACCAAGTCTGTGCTACAAAGTAACTGTTTTATTAAGTCACTTGAGCTTCCTCGCAGGATAGCATCAGTTCCTCCTCTGTGCATGGTACGTATTTATTATACCTAGGTCCCTCTCATAGGTCTTTGGATACTTTTCCTTTCTTATTCAAAGTCACAGCACCTTGGCGCGGCGTTCTCTGGAAGTCTGCAGTGTGCCGCCCTTACACCTGGCTTCTTCTCCGGGGAAACAATCACTGATTCGATCCCTCATTTGGCAATCTCTTCATGGAGAATGGATAAAAATCGTAAAAAACTGATGGCAGCCCCACTCTCTGAAAAGCCCTTGTAGAGCTTACTACTCAAGTGAAAGGAGAGAAGTCAGGAACCTCTTCTCGTCGTACCATCTTCCCCGGTCTTTTCTGATACGGAATATTTGAAAGAAACGAGTTAAAAGCAGTAGACGTGAAGTAAAAGGAGAGTTCGTTCCTGGTAGGAACACAAATCTGCGACTTCGGCTGTGCTTCCGGACCCAGGCCGGGACCTACTTCCGGCCCCAACTTCCTGTCTCCAGAGTTTCGAGTTCCGCTGCTTCCGCCCAGAGTTGCTCTAGGCTCCGGCTGGGAGCAGCTACTTCCGCCAGCAGTCCCTAGCGACTGGCACTTGGAAACTGGTCCTAAAACGGCCTCCTCCTTTTCCCCTCAACCCGCCCGCACTTCCCGGGTCCCCAGGTGGCGGCTGTGGCTGCTGAGCCGCTAGCGGAGCATTCTCTCTGGCCGAGTCCTGGGTCTGGGGGAGAAACGCCCTGGTCTGGCCGAACCTCGGTCTCTCCGCAGCCAGTGACAGAGGCCACAGGCCTCACCGTGCCCACCCTGTCCTGGGGCGGGGCCCGGCCTCCCCGCCCCGGACCCCGCCCCTCCGGCCTGCCCAGCGCCGAGTCAGTTTCTTTAGCCCTGCGGCGGAGTAGCCGCCCTCCTTCTCCCGGACGCGGCAGTCCCCTGGCTCCGGCTGTTGGGGAACATGGAGTTTGCGGAGCTGATTAAGACCCCACGGGTGGACAATGTGGTGCTTCACCGACCTTTCTATCCGGCCGTTGAGGGGACCTTGTGTCTGACTGGCCACCACCTGATCCTGTCTTCTCGGCAGGACAACACGGAGGAGTTGTGGCTGCTCCATTCAAACATCGACGCCATCGACAAGCGGTGAGTGCTCATCGCGCCCCCTATTCTGCAGGGAACCTGGGGTCCTTAGGTGGTCCTCTGAGGAAACGCGCCCCAGTGTTTTCCTTTTGGCCCGACCAGCCTGCAAAATGAGCCCTGTCTGGCCTTGACTGAAGATTTGAGTTTTTGAAAGCAGAAAACCATCCATAGGAGATCCCCTGGTTGCTAGTAAATCTGGATGGAATTCCCAGGGCGATCACATAATTGGTATCATCCTGATCATCATTTTTGGTACATGACACTGTTTCAGTGGATTTTTTTTCATTTTCTTTTCCTTGCACCATGATATTCCTCGAATATGTCCATCACAGTTCATGAAGTTATGATTCAATGCGATTTAGGTAAAGTCTATATTTGCCACTTTTGAGGAAAATTCAACTCAGTATGTATGGTCTAAATTCCACAAAACTCTTTCTCCCCTCAAAGAAATGATCACATTTCTCTTTATTTCTCACCTTTCATTTCACCCATTTAATCCTTCCCACTATGGGAGATTATAATGTCTTTTACTTCTCTTTACTCACTTCTGCTTTTGGAAAGAACAGAGTTGGAGATTAAGCACAGGTTTTAATCACCCTCTTTTTTTTTTTTGTTTTTGCACCCAGACTCTATCTTTCCAAAGTAGAATCTTAGAGTCAAAAAAGTTATACTTCCATCTGCAGTCAAAATTCCCATTTCCCCAATGGCTGTGTACTTTAGCCAGGAGAAGTTAAATTGATTATCCAATTTACACTAACGTGTCAATGAATGACAATAGCTTTACCTGTTATCTCTCAAGAGAATTTGATATTAAGAAGATTTCTAAAGAGGTTATGCCTTCAGAGAAAATAATTTCTAATGGTAGAATTTGAAAGAGTAGAGTGAAAGGGTAATCGATTATTTTTTTTTAACAGAGGGTTGCTATTAGACTCTGCAGATCACCTCTGGGGCAAAGGTTTTCAGTGCTCTCTCCTGGCCTGCACGATAAAGTCTAAACCCCTTCGTCTGACACTCATGGCACTCCATGTTGTTCTGTCACCAGCCTACTCTTCCCACCCTAGGTCTTGCCATTCCCTTTCATGAACTTTTCTTTACTAGCCAGTCCTCACTGTTTTTGCCCACCCATGTCCCGCGTGCTCTCATGTCTATATTATACTGACACGGAAGGAAGTGGAGGGAGTGCCTTGTTCCTCCCAAGTTTCCTAAACATTTACTGAATGTTATTATATTGCAGCTATTTTGTGAGGCATAAAGGACACCGTGGTGAATAAAATACATTCCTTTCAGGGGCTTATAGGCTATCACCCAATCGTTAGCCATCTCTCGATATTCAGTCTAACCATTTCAACTGCCATCCATCTCTTTCACAGATTCTTCTGTTAATCCCACAACTAGAAGTAATTCCCCTTACTCTCTTTCCCCTAATTCTCTTTCATAAATGTATATTAAAACTTGCATTTGGATGGCTACACATATATTAGCCCCTCGATGCTGGGACTCACATTTTGTTAATTTTTATCTCCTTCAAAATGCCTAACTGTGGCTTGGGCAGATAGGCACATAGGAAATAAAAGAAGGCTTGACCACTGAGTGGTCAGTGGTGCCATTGAATGCAAATTAAGAGTTTCTCCATGCCAGCAACTGTCTTTTCTTTCTTACCTACTACTTTGTGTGGTTCCTTTTCAGTGTTCTATCATGCCTGCCTAGCATTTACTACATGCTGGGCCTGGTAGGGCTTAAGGAAGTATATAAGACGTGGGCCTTTTAATCTGTTTGGGGGTAAATGACAAACTGCACACCCATTTGCCTTTTTCCTGGGGAGCAGCATGTTGTAATGGGGAGAGCAGGAGGTAGGTGGTCAGATCAGAGGTTGTTGCTTTCAAGAAATGTTTACTTCCGTGTGCCTTCTACACACTGCACTGTCAGGGCTCTGCAGATGTGGTGGTGACTAAGACGGACGAGGAGCTTATGTACTAGTGGAAGAGACGGACGTTCAAAGAAATCAACAAATAAGTGCCAGGAAGGGAAATAAAGGCACATGGGAGGATAGAGAATGCCAGGAAGACAAGTGACACTTGAATGAATGACATCCGAATGAAGGGAAGAAGCTAGCGCTGTGACTATCAGAGGAAAGCATGTCAGCCAGGGAACAGTGAATACAAAACCTGAGACGGGAACATGCTGGCAGGTGCAAGGAAAAGCAAAGAGCAGTGTGGCTGGAGGGCAGTGAACACGGGGTAGAGGCCAAGGGGACAGCAGGAACTGAGGTTGGAGGGGTAAGCAGGGGCCCAATCTGGTAGGACCTTATATGCCACTGTGACGGTTTTCATGGGAAGGCCTTGGAGAGTTGAAAGCAAGGAGTAGCAGTTGATAGACTTTAGGAGATGATTGTGGTTGCTGGCAGAAAATTGATTCTAGGGAATCAAGAGTGGAAGCAGCCGCCTGGTTAGGAGACTGTTGAATAGTTCAGGTAAAAGGTGGTGGTGACCTAGAGTCGAAGGAGTAGAGGAGCAGACTCAGACTTTGAAGGCTGAGCTGTCATGCCTCACTGGTGAATCGTAAATGGGGTGTGAGAGGAAGAGCAGCATTAAGGATGACTCTTTCAGTTTGCCTCTTGTCAGACAGGTGCCCCCTGGGCAAGCTACTTAACCTCTGTGAACCTCAGCTGTATCACATAAACGGAAGACAACCCCTCTCATGTCAAGTAGAAATTTATATTGGATAATGCTCTACAAGCTTGTAAAAAGCTTTCATGTACACTGTGTACATAATTTTATTTCTTTCAGTAGACAAGGTTGTACACAAGTTTTACAATTGTACTTGTTTTTTCTTTTGATGGACCTCAGATGTAGACAGTTGAGTTAATTCTACTCAGTTGATGACTCATCATTCATTACAAGGTTTTCTCAGTGTTTCATTTTATTCTTCTTTAGCCCTAATTTTCATTCCCATTTTTCACCTCATCCTCAATCCCGATAGGTAACTGTGTTAAGTGTTGCTTTTTGTCCTTGGAGATTATATACACACACACACACACACACACACACACACACACACCTATTATATATATAACATCACTGTGTGGGGGTGAATGCACGCATGCATGTGTGAGTTTAATTCACCTGAGTAGAATTGTGTTGTAGATCTGGGTGTATCTCGGTACTCTTTTTCAAGATCTCTTGATACTGCTTTCTGTACATTCATGTCACTGCTTCTGACTGCAGCATAGCATTCGAGAGTGCCTACAACATTTATCTGACCCTTTAGATAATCTCCAAGTCCATCATCCAAACAGCTCTGGTAAGATAAACATATTCATTTGGGTCCCAGTACAATCTTGTGCAAGAAGAGTTTCTCTGAGATTGTGCCTAGGATGGGATGGAGCCGGAGAGTCAGCGCCTAATTCATTTCACAAAGTAGCACTAGATAGCTCTCCAGAATGACTACTCTACTATGCCCTCCTACATTCTTACCAACATTTGATATTATTGTCTTCCTAATTTTTGCCAGTCTGATGATAGTGAAATAGTATCTTTTTGTTTCAGTTTGTATTTCTCTAATTACTTGTGAGTTTAAGTATTTCTTTACATATTTGTTAGCAATTCGGTCAAAAATGGTTTCCTTTTTGTGAAAAACTGGATTTGTTGTCATTCTTGTGTTGATTTGCACCAGTCCCTTGTGCACCCTCTAGCTGTTAAGTCTTCACTTATGTAGTGCAGATGTCTTCTCCCAGTCTCTCATCTCTTAGTCCATTTTCCTGGGGTCCCCTTTGTTGAACAGAGGTCCTCAATTTTAATGCAAAATTTGTCAGTGCTCTACTCTATGGTTTGTGTTTTTAAAGTCTTACTTTAAGAAGTCTTTTCTTATCCCAAGGTCATTAGATATTCTCCTACATTTTCTTTCATATTAGCTTTCTAGTGTTAGTCTTCATTTTTAGGCCTGTAATGTGTTTGGATTCTACCTTTGTTTCAAGTGTGATAAGTATCCAACTTTGCTTTTTGCACATAGCAAGTCTGTTTTCCTAGACCACCATCTAACAACCCATCCTTGACCAATTTATCATATATCAGGTAGTTTAATGTGTATATATATTATATATATGTTTATGTAATATTTATACAGCTTTTGCTGTGTTCAGTAAGTTTTGTAATGTGTTTTTAATTTGTCTCTTAAGTATTTTCTAATTTCCCTTGTGACTTCTTAGATCCATTGGTTGTTTAAAAGTGTGTTGTTTAATTTTCACAATTTTGTGAATTCTCATTCTTTTTGTTGTTGTTATTGATTTCTAACTGTATCCCATTGTGGTCAGAGACTATACAGGCAAACATTGTTTTATTATGCTTCACAATGAGAGTGCAACTTACTTTGTTGCAGTAGCTGCTCTGTTTTGGTGTTTGGGACCGAAATGGCAGTATCTCCAGCGCATGCCTGCTGTCTGCGTCTGTGACGAACTCTCAATATGCTAATTATAGATTTTTTTGCTATTCTTTGACGTAAGGCCCCAAATAATCTTTGATAAATGATTTGGTCTAGTATAAATTATATTTGAAATTTTTTTCTATATATGTATTTTTTAAAATAATTTATGGTTCGCATTTTTATGATGCAGTCTTGACTCTTGCTTAATTAAACTAATTAGGGAGAAGAAAGTTGAACATAGATGGTGATTATAACTATATTCTCTTTTCACAGAAATAATCATATACTTAAAGTTAGAAATATCTATGTTCCTAAGCATAATCTATAATTGTTTACAGATTTGTGGGACCCCTGGGTACCATCATCATAAAATGTAAAGATTTCCGAATAATTCAGCTGGATATTCCTGGAATGGAGGAGTGTTTGAACATAGCCAGTTCCATTGAGGTAAGCATTTTGGAAGCAAAATGTGTGATGAAAATAAATAGTAATGAAAAGAGCCTTGTATTCTGACTCAGTGTAGCTCTTAGGTTTCTTCATTAGGTATTTGCTCATGTTCTGTGATTCAAATATTGAAGACTGACAGGAAAAGCTTCACCCTGACTCATATTATAGGAATGTAACAAGATTTTATTGACATATAGTAATTTTTAGGTTTACTTATTCTTCCAGGTTTATCCATATTATAGCATGTGACAGAATTTCCTTACCTTTTAAGACTAAATGATATTTCATGTATAAGAAGATGAGCTGAACTGTCTTACATATTTATCATTTGGAAGTGACACAGTAATGTTGATTCAGCTAAATTCGCTGCCATGAGTAAGAAATGCACGTGGCTTCTAGGCTGTTAGACTGAAATGTGGCCCTGTTATTTGGGCAGGGGAATGCTACTGACCCAGTCCAGTTAAGCATGTGGTTGTTTGTTTGCTTTGTTTCTTTTTTCCAGTTGTGGGGCTGGGTTTTCACTGACATGTCTACATTTCTCTTAATCCATTTTCTAACTTGTGAAGATAGAAGGTTGGTGGGTGTTATTGAAGTTGCCCATGGTAAGGAAACAGGGCAAGACTTATTACTCCACTTTCTGATTGCATTACTTAGCTCTGTTAGCATCTGATACTACTCAGTTGTTTACTTAGCCGTAGATATTATCTGATGTTCTGTACAAATCAACTGATTATATAGATGCCCTTACAACTTAAAAGAGGTCATAAACTATGAGTCATCCTCATAATTTGATATCAGAATGTGAACTCTCTATTGTTTTTACAGTTTGGTAAACACACATAGTGAACTTGGCCTCTAGCCTTTACTGTCTTTCAATTCCTCTTCCCCCAATACATTTTGACATAATTTTGGAGTAATAAGTAAAATTCCCATATAGCATAGTTGAGCTATTTGTAATCAAGAGACCATATACCCAAATATATTCTGTTTGCGACAAATAGATTCCCATTGGAAGGATAATTGGCAAGTGTCCAGTTTTCTAAATTGTAGCAGGAAGTTTGATGAAGCCTTTTGCTCTGTACTTTCAACTGCCTTTGGGATTGAAATGTTTTTGTTCTTTCAGCATTAATGTGTTTAAAGGAAAAGTCCTATCTCTAGTGACATAAAATGTAATCATGACAAGTGTTTATTGTCCGCCAGAGTGGTTGTTGACTTGCATTTAAAATAATAGTTGTACCAGTCACAATAGAAAACAGTATGGAGGTTTCTTGAGAGATCAAAAATAGAACTACCATATGATCTAGCAATTCCATTTCTGAGTATACATACAGAAAAACCAAAATCATTATCCTGAAGAGATAGCTGTACTCGCTGTGTTCATAGCAGCATTATGCTTAATAGCCAAGGTACAGAAACAACCTAAGTGTTGATGGATGAATGGATAAAGAAAATGAGAGAGAGAGAGACAGATTGATTATTCAGTCTTAAAAAAGAAAGTAATCCTGCCATTTGCGACAACATGGATGAACCCGGAAGTCATTATGCTAAGTGAAATAAGCCAGAGAGAGAAAGATAAATACTGCATGGTATCACTTATGTGTGGAATCTTAAAAAGTAAAGCCAAACTCATAGAAACAGAGTAGAAAAGTTGCCAAGGGCTGCAGTGTGGGGAAAATAGGGAGATATTGGTTAAAGTTATGAAGTGTCAGCTATAAGCTGAATAAAGCATGTGGATTTAATGTATAACATGGTGACTCTAGTTTATAATACTCTATTGTTTCATTGAAATTTGCTAAAAGATTCTAACTTAAATGTTCTCAAAAACAGCAACAAAAGGTGATGTGAGGTAATGGTGTGTCAACTCAGTGGGAGAGAGGGATCCTTTCACAATGTGTATGTATTGTGTTCTACACTTTAAATATTTTACAGTTTTATTTATCAATTATATCTCGGTAAAGCTGAAATTCTGCTAAATATTACAAAGTATATCTTAAAAATGAATGAATGAATGAATGAATAGATGGTTGAAGAGCTCTGGCCTACATCAGATGTGAACACTGGCCTTTCTGCTTCTGTTTGGTGTGATTGGCAGCCAAAGACCACATAGAAGTAGATAATGGATTAGCGAGCCATGCTTCTCCATATTTTCTGTTTTATGAGCCTTGGGAGAAAGACTTCATGATTTATGTGAAGTAAAGAAGAATAGCTTGAGATGGGGATATTTTTGTTAAACTGCTGAATGACATGTTCAGCCTATTTCTTAATGAGTCATGTGCCTACCCTTTTGCGTCTGATCTTTCTGTGACCAGAAGGAGGTAGCTACCTTTGAGAGTTTGGGGGTATTAGCATGTTGTTGGGCCTACTGCCGTGCTCCAGGTGTGTGTCTCCATAGTTACTGCAGTTTGAATTATGCTAATTGATTTTGGCACCTTCTTGTCTACCCATAGAAATGCTTTCCATAATTCCCTTGTCTGAAGGATGAAACTGCCACATGACATGTGTCTGTTCCTCCTGTCTAGTTGGGTTTTCTGGTGTTGTCACCCAGAGCTTAAGTGCTGTAGATGAATATAGGCTCATTGTGGGCCCGGCTTGAAAGTGGGTCAGCATGGCTGGCATAAAGATACGCTGCTACCTGACCAGATGGCATTTCACAGTGGGCAGGGGATGAACATTGAGGGAGCATGTGTGTGGAACATGTAATAGCTAAAACTGTTTTACAGTGTATATTATGTGCCAGGCCCTGCTCTAGGCCTGTCACACACACGTGCTCTGAATGCTCCTAACAGCCCTATGAGGTAGGTACTGTTATTTCCCCAGTTTTACAGCTGAGAAAGCGGAGCATGGAGTAGTTGCATAACTTAATTACTCTTGCACTGGGATCTGGAATTTGGGTCCAGCAGTCTGACTCCAGTCTGACTCTTTGGCATCTAAGCTATATCATCCTATTTTACAGTTACTAACAGATGCTGATTTTATATAATTTAACTTACATGTGTTTATATGGTTGATAACTAGATTTTGAGCCAAGGCTTTACAGACTAACAAAACCTGTTTGTTATCTGATCCACCCCCCAAATATATGGTCTGTTTTATTAGGCTTCATAAAGTGATTCAAGAAGGAGTTATTTCATTTTTCTCCTAGAGTGGGTATGCACATTACTTAATTCTTCTCTTCATTCATCAAATGCTAATTGAGTGTATGTTATGTGCCAAAACCTGGTTAGATGCTGGACACATGGAAATTAACTTCAGTATGCTATAATTGTACCTAGTGATGAATACAATGTTAGAGAAGTGTGCCCATCATTATTAAGTCACATTTGTTTAATGCCAATATGGCCATTAGAAAGTGTTCCAAATTATGGTATATTCCTTTATCCTTTCTTTATTTCCTTTTCACCCCTAGGCATTGTCAACCCTGGATTCCATCACTCTGATGTACCCCTTCTTTTACCGGCCCTTGTTTGAAGTGATAGAAGACGGCTGGCATTCTTTCCTTCCTGAGCAAGAGTTTGAACTCTACTCTTCAGCTGTGAGTAGCTTTTCAGAGAACTATGGGTATTGAGAAATAACCCAACACCTTACCGTACTTGCAAAAATAATCACTTTCTTTTGATGAGTAGTAAGGTGCATCTGACTTGCTCATGCCTTTTCTCATAACACTGAACTCAGGGCCCCACCCTGTCCTGTTTTCTCTTCTTAGCAGGGCAGTCAGTTTTTGTCTTCGATTCTCTTAAAACATGGTACCCTTAACATGTAGTCTCAAATGGAACTATTACTACCACTTTATGGCAGCCTAAAGTTCAATTAGGTTTTTGAGAATTAAATTACTAATGAAATAAACTAAAGTTCTACATCTTTTCACATGTGTTATTAAGGGATCCTCCCTGTTTGTTTGTTTTTTTGTTGTTGTTGTTTTATTTACTTATCATTTTTACTTAGATTAAATCCTTTTTTTCCTAGTGGGCATCTCCTTTTTGGTCTGGCTAATTATTTAAGCAATTTGTATATTTGAATTTCTGTTATAGTTTCTTGCAAGTTTTGTAATCCAGATTTAATGAGAACATCTTTAATGCCTTGATTTGAGGTGTTAACTTACTGTTGCTAGATTATAGAAATTTAAGGTAATCAAAGCATGGTCTCTTGTTCAAAGTTTAATAATTATCTAAGTAATCTATACAATAAAGCAAGTGCTGGCAAAAGTATATACAAGCACAGGAGAAATGACGTAATCAAATCTGTGTTATACAAAATCAATTCTGATGCAGAATGCTAAGAAACTGCTTAAGTGTCTACTATAATAATATAAAGAAGATGGTTGGATCAATAGCAGAGGGGTTATAGTGCAGGAAGATTCAGGAAGTAGAATTAAAAGGAGCTGGCCACCTGCATTGCATGAGAGAGGTGAAACAGGCAGTGGCATCTGGGATGGTACTGCTAACATGAGAAAGACAGAAAGAGAAGTGTGTTTGACAGGGAACAGGTTGAGTTCAGTTTTGGAGATGGCAGATTTGAAGGGCCTGGATGGTTTGGTATATATCATTGAATATGCGTAAGAGGTAGTTTAGAGCTTATTTGAGAGATTTATGTTAAAAATGAAAAATTGAGAGTAATCAACGTATATTCTGTGGAAACCATAGAGAGAAGTCAGGATTGACTAGGCAATGCATCTAAAGTGATAAAGGGGCAAAGGATTGAACCATTTAATAGGGGAGTGGAGGAAAAAGTCAAGGGAAGAACAAGTTTCAAGGAGGAGGGCATCGACAGTGTGGAAGGCTTCTTATTCATTGTTTGTCTCTCTTCTGGGCTAGAATATAAGTTGATAAAATATAAACTTAAAAGGCAACTTTGAAAATAAATAAAGTATTTAGGAATAAATTTAACAAAAGAAGTACAGATCTATACACTGAAAAACAAAACAAAACAAAAAAAACCATTGCTGAGAGAAGTTAAAGGACATATAAATAAATGGAGAGATATACCACGTTCATGGGTTGGAAGACAGTGTGGTTAAGTTCAGTAGTGGGCTGACTTATATAAAGGAGCAGATAGTAAACATTTGAGGCTTCGTGGGTCATGCAGTCTCTGTTACAACTACTCTACTCTACTGTTATAGCATGAAAACAGCAATGATAATACACCAATGAGTAAGTGGTGCTATGTTGGGCTGGATTTGACTTGAGGACTATAGTTTGCCAACTCTACTAAGATAACTATTTTCTCCAAACTGATTTATAGATTCAGTGAAATTCTTTTCAATATTCCAGTAGAGGCTTTTATAGAAATTTTAGGACAGGATTATCCTAAAATTTATGTGGAAATGCAAAGTTACTGGAATAGACAAAACAACTTTGAAAAAGTAGTTAAAGGATTTATATTTACTTGATTTCAAAATTTACTATAAAGCTACAGTGTTGCGCGTGGGTCACCGGCCAGCAGTGACCACGGAACGCTGTGGATGGCTCGACGATAAACATGCGAGAAAAAACATGCACAGAGACAAACTAGTTTCTGTGGGGAAGTAGGGACGAAATGGCCACCCTCCCTAGTGGGGAGCGCACTGATTTACCGTCCATACCTGCTTTTATTGGGCTCATTTTGCATAATAATTCAGGTAAAGTACAGTACTCATTACGGGGAAGTAAGGAATCATAGAAAACAAAGAACTCTGCCGGTCTATTGAGTTGGGGGTCAAAGAGCTGTAAGACTGAGGAACAAAATAACTTCCTCCCAAGACCCTTCTCATTCAACTGAGAGCATTCTAAACAAAGGAGGTTTCACAGTAATTTACATATTCTTTCTTAGGCCTGATCACCCTGGGGAATCCGCACTTCTCAGTACCCGAGCTGCACCACCCTGTCATTGTTTCAGGCTTAGGTGGAGCAAGGGAACTAAGGCAACCGAGAGATAAGGAGATTTTCTTCCAGACGCTGAGAACTCAGGCTATGTCAGAGCCGAGGAGCGAGGGCCCATCACCCCCCTTTTGCTGCAGCCCCCCCAAGTCCTTCTTTTGGGGGGGCCTCCCAAAGTGATCGTGCCTGTCTTAGGTCGTTCCCCGTGGGGAATCTTACCCGTCTTTGGCTAACCGACCAAGCTTTTTGGGGTTCAGTTATGAATAAAGCAGAAGAAGCAGCATTCCTGCCAGGAAGATAAGCTTTTGTCTCCTTGCTGGCTTAGGGTTCCAAGGGCGTTCCCTTAGCCTTAGCTAGGCGGGGGTTTCAGCCTCTGATACCAGTCAGGGCGGTTCCCAACACTACAGCAATCAAGAGAGTGTAGTATTGGCATAACAATAGATATATAGATCAGTGGAATAAAATAGAGAGTCCATGAAAAAAATACAGTAAAAATATAAAGATATATGGGAAAAAATAAAATAGAATGTCCAGAAATAATCTCTCTTATTTGCAGTCAATTAATTTTTGCCAAAGGTGCCTAGATTATTCCGTGGGGAAAGGACAGCTTTTTTGACTAATGGCATTGGACTAATTGGATGCAAAAATAAAAGATGAACCTAGACCTTTACACCATCCATAAAAATTAACTCAAAAGGTTTTATAGACCAACACATAAAAGTTAAAACCATAACACTTTTTGAAGAAAACCCAGGAGAAAATCTTTATGAACTTGGATTATGCAGTGATTTTTTAGATATGACACCAAATATGACTGAAAGCAGATAAGTGATCTCCTAGTGTTGGATGTGAAGGGGAAGATATGGACTGCAAAAATATACAAGGGATTTTTGTGTGAGGTGATTAAAATGTTTGTTATCTTGATTGTGGTGGTGGTTTCACAGACACATACAACTGTCAAGACTCATGAAATTGTACACTCTGAATGGATCTATTTTTTAATAAAATCACAATAAAGTTGCTTAAAAAGAAAAGAAAACTTAATGTAAAGGTTAAGTAGCTATTTAGAAACAACTAAAGAGAGAATTAGTGATCTGTAATACATACAAAGTAATTACTCAGAATACAGAACAGAGAAACAAGGAAGATGAAAAAAATGACAGAGAAGTTAGATACTTTCATGAATGATAAAGGAAGAAGAGCCAATATTTACTAAATGGGAATTCAAGAAGATAATAGAGAAAATGGAAGAAAGGCAATATACAAATAGATAATGGTTGAGAATTTTCTAGAATTAATGAAAATCACAAACCCTTGGATTAAGGTACCCCAGGAAGCACCATGAAAGATAATCAGAAAGTAATCTTTATTTAGATGTGTTGAGTCCAACTATCAAACAGTAAGACAAAGAGAACATCAAAACTAACCAGAAAGAGGACAAATTGTATACATAGTATAACAAAATTAGAAGAGAAAGAACTAATTTGATAAAATTAAACATTTATTCATGATAAAAACTCTTAGCAGTGCTGGATTTGAAAGGAATTTGTTTACTATGATAAAGGGTAACTACCCAAACCAAAAACATACAAAAAGCAAATCTTTTATCATTCTCGAATTAAAGAGTGAGACAAGACTCCCTCCAGCTCAATGAGTCAAGAAGGAAAAATAAAAGGTATAAGGATTGAAATGAAAGTAGCGAAATTGCCATTCTGTGTCGATTATGTACTTGTCTATATAAGAAATGAAAAGAATCTTGAGATTATAGGCATTTGTCTATACCAAACACAATTTTGGTATAGACAAATATATAGACAATTTTGAAAACATCAGTGAAATAAAACGGTGAGGGTTTTAGACCTTTACTGAGAGATTTATAAAGCTTTATTGAAAAAATTAAGAAAGTTTTATTATTTTATTTTTTTAATTTTATTTAATTTTAGAGAGAGGGGAAGGGAGGGACAAAGAGAGGGAGAGAAACATCAATCAATTGCCTTTCACACAACCCCCCACTGGGGACCTGGCTGCAACGCAGGCATGTGCCCTGACTGGGAATTGAACCTATGACCTTCCAGTTCACAGGGCAGTGTTCAGTCTACTCAGCCACACAAGCCAGGGTAAAAACATTAAGAAAGTTAAAAAAATTGGGGGATACCATGCTCACGGACAGGGAGACTAAATATTAAAAAGGTGTAACTGTCTTCAAATCCATCTATAAAGTCCACACAATCTGATTAAAACCCCGGTGGGATTTTACATGGATTGTGATAAAGGTTACATGATCGAGCAAAGGACCATGAGGAGCCAAGTTACTTTTGAAAAACAGAAAGAAGGGAGGAGGAGACTTAGCCTACTAAATATCAAGCTTATTCTAAAAGCTGTGGTACTCACTACAGATAGACCAGTGGGACAGGCTAGAGAGTCCTATATGTAAGGAAACTTAATATATGACAGAAGTGGCATTGCCAGTCAGTGGAGAATCATATCATTCTACTGAGTAGGATCAATAAGTAATAATATCTAATAGTGAAAAATCAGGAAGTAACATTATAGTCATGTTTATTTAGAAATTCGGAGGTAAATACATACCCCCCCATACACACAAGCTAAAAGAATAGAAAATTATTGTCTCTGGGGAAAGGAAATTAGGAGAGGGGTAAGCAGGGAACAAGTAATTTCCTTTTTCTATATCATGCATCTTTTAGAAATTGTCTTTTTAAAATTGGCAACATGAATAACTTTGAAAAATGAAATATATAATTAAAAATATGATATTGTAGTCTTTTTGGTGTGGCTCAGTTGGTTGGAGCATCATCCTGTAAACTGAAAGGTCATAGGTTTGATGCCTGGTCGGAGCACATGCCTAGGTTGCAGGTTCAGTACTGGTCAGGGCAAATGAGAGGCAACCAATCGATGTTCCTTTCCTTCTCTGTCTTGCTCTCTTCCCCTCTCAAAAATCAATAACTATTTTAAAATTATATATTATATTTTAATATATTAATATAGTATATAAAATATGTCTATATTCCATATATTTAATAATATTAATATATTGTGTAAAACATATAATATATATTACATAGTACATAATATATATTGTGTGTGGCATATATAATATATGCAATATATTATTATATATGTAATTATATGAATGTAATATTACATATATCATACATTATATTATATCCTATATAATAAAATATATTTATATAATATGTATATTTATACATACATGGTATTGTATCTTGTAAAAGTGTTTTAAAAATACTCTTGTCCTATAGTACATCTAACAAACCAGTTTTATCCTACTGGTGCCACAACCTATGGCCAGTATGATTTACAGGAACATATTAAATTTACATATATATATAATTTTATTCTTTAAAAAGTTTTTTGCAGTCTTCAAGTGGTTTTCATTTTTGATGTTTGAAATAAGTTGTCATTTGATAGTTTTATATTGTATACTTTTTTACTAACTCCTAAGTATAACCTTTCTTAGTGATGTCATTATTCCTTTAAGAAAGATGTTGCCAATCTTTCTACATTTTTCTCCTTATTTATTTATTTATTTATTTATTTATTTTTAGAGAGGGAAGGGAGGGAGGGAGGGGGAGAGAGAGAGAGAGAGAGAGAGAGAGAGAGAGAGATACATCAATGTGCAGTTGCTGGGGGTTATGGCCTGCAACCCAGGAATGTACCCTGGCTGGGAATCGAACCTGGGACACTTTGGTTCCCAGCCCACGCTCAATCCACTGAGCTACGCCAGCCATGGCTTTTTCTCCTTTTTTAAATAATAGAAAGAAACAAGGGATATGAAATAAGTGGTACCTCTACTCTCATCTGTTCTGGTTCAGTATTATGTGAAGTATTACAGTCTTTGTGTTGCTGTACTTTAGGAGTGCCATTAACAAAGTAAATGGTCCCCAGAAAAGGATGGATAAGATGATGTTGGCCCTGATAGTTGGGTGTATATAATATATGTAACTTGGAGAATAGAAGACTGAGAATAGAAGATAATAGGAGAAATGTGTGAATCTCTTTCACACATTTGATGGGATGCCGTGCGAAATAAGGAACCTGTACTGAAATCATGGTAAAAACCAATAGAGGAAGTTATAGAGCAACATATTTTGCTGAATATGAGGAAGAACTTTCTAGGAACTGGAGATACCTAGCATTGAAGGAAGCTGACTCTGCAGAATGGAGCACCTTTTCTCTGGAAGTTTTAAGTATGGGATAGGTATCTTTCTATTAAATTCTTGAGATGGCTTCTTTATTATGTGAAAGTTGATCTCTAGGGTCCTTTAAAATTTTTCGGATTATTTTGTGACATTGAGATACTTGCTTAGCTTTGAAGTATTTTGTGTTTTTTCAGACCAGTGAATGGAGGTTAAGCTATGTCAATAAGGAATTTGGAGTCTGCCCCTCTTACCCGCCAATTGTCATAGTGCCCAAATCCATCGATGATGAAGCTCTCCGGAAGGTAGCTACATTTCGCCATGGAGGACGCTTTCCAGTACTCAGCTATTACCATACAAAAAATGGAATGGTAAGTATACAGTACTGCTGCTTTCCACTGAAGGACTTGGTTTGAGGATTTTTTCTTAGAAATGTTTCACTTTCTGTGTGCCTGTCCATCGAAGTGGTTAGTCTCTCCTGCTATCTTTCTTCATTTAAACTTTAGGGGATCAGGAGCAGAGTGTTTTCTGTGATCAGTATGTGACTTTGAATTCTTTCCATGATACTGCTCAGCCTTGGAAAAGCCCAGAGAGGTTCAGCGTCAGGACCCAGTACAAAGGGAACCAATGTTCATGTGCCACTTAAAATAACACTCAGGCAGAGAATACATTTTTCTGACCAGAATGATAAGATACTTTATTAAAATCATTAAAAATTTTTCTATGAAAAGTAAATTGAGCAGATGTTTTTATCTTCAAAAGGAGAAGAGTGACACTTGTCATTAGTCACAACTTAAGTAAACACAGGCATCAGGAATTGAATAGGCAAGTGCTCGCAGTGTAGGTGCTTCCCAAATATTTTCTAAACTCCGGTTCTCTCCTCTTATTTTCTCTCAATCAATAAACTCTACTTCATTTTGAGACCAACAGTAAATTAGAGGATAAATTATAGCCATCTTTCAATTTTTTCCCCGTAGTATTAAGTCAAACATGGATATTTAGGATAAAAAGATTTCTAAAAATTTGCTAGTTTGGCATCAGGTCACCTGTTTCCTTCCTCGCCAGTATATCTATTTTAACTAGAGTTCATTGTAAAGTATTTTAATAATTGATGTTAAATATGCTCATGCACTGAGTCCATTTACATGGTAAGTGCCATCTGAGAGTTAGCTATTGTCATCCTCTGCATGACTTTTGCTGATCACATTAAATTTCAAGGTAGTTAAGATCACAGAATATACTATGGAATTGAGTTGAAATAATTCTAAGCCTGGAGAACATTATGCTAAGTGAAATAAGCCAGTCAGAGAAAGACAAATACCATATGATTCACTCATATGTGGAATCTAATGAACAAACTGAACTAACAAGGAAAATGGGGACACACTCATAGGTGGAGAGTAGGATGACAGCTAGTGGGAGAGAGAGAGGGGGTGGGGGGATTGAGCAAAAAGGAAAAAGAACTCATGGACAAGGACAACAATGTGGTGATTGCTGCGGGGAGAGGATATAAGGGGACAAAAGGTAATGTAAAAGAAATACAATAAAAAAATTATAAAAAAAATAACTCTAAGCCATTTACCAGGGAAGAGATCAGTATAATAGTTATTGATTTCCTGAGGAAAGTTTCAAAAGAAAATCTTTCAAAATGTATAGTTGGTAGTATTTGGAAACAAGTGGTTAAGAATTAGAATACTGAAAAGGATGAAAGAGGTCCACTGGAGAATAATTAATAACAAGCAGCTTTCAAGATATTGAAAATGATTCCCTGTGGTAGAGCTTTATCCAGCAGAGCTTTTGTCATGGATAAGAATAATTCTACCAAGACATGATCTGCTTGAGAAGGAAAGGTGGCTAATCTCTCAAAGGAGAAGGGCCTTGAGCCTGTTCCTCAGTGGGCTTTTATTGGGTTTAATTTGCATAGGAATACAGGGCATAAAGCTCATCAATCATTGTCAGGCAGTAATGATCAATAATAGATAACATTCAGAGAGCTATGAGGGCTTATCAGAGTCAGGGTCATATAGCCAAAGGTCCATGAAACTTTGGGGGACAAAGTCATTTTAGGCTTGGACCCTTATCATTTAAATTGAGGCCATTCTTAGCAAAGCAGGTTTCACAGGATTTTATACATTCTTTCTTAGGCCTGATCATCCCAGGAAACTGCCCTTTCTAGCACAGGGTCACACCCACCTCCGGCATTGTTTTAGGCTTAAGTCAGGTGGGGGGATGCCCCCAAGAGATTAAGAGACTTTTTATAGATAGAATGAGGATTCAGGCTATGTCAAAGATAAGGGGTGAGGGTCCATCACCCCCTTTTTCTATAGTCCCCTAAGTCCTTCCCTGATGGCCCCTTCATGACCATGTCTGTCTTAGGTCGTCCCTCCCTTGAGGAATCTTACCCATCATTGGCTAACCAGTCATCCACCTGGGGCCAAGCAGGGTGATGTAAAGGGGGCAGAGGCTGCGTCCATGCCAGGAGGATATGGTGCAAAGAAGATGAGAAGCTTTGTCTCCTTAGTGGCTTATGACCCCAAGGTCTTTTTACTCAGCCTTAGCCATGGGGGGCTGTAGCTTCTGAAACTAGGCAGGGTGGTTCCCAACAATTCCTGAAACAAGAATAATGGATAAACTTTTAAAAAATATTGCCATTGGTGCCTTTTTCTTTATAATTCTGGCCAACACTAAGCTTATGTAATTGAAGCCAAAGTTTATTGGTACATAGGTTATTGGTACATAGGTTATTATTCTCTTCATTATAGGGCTAGGTCAACTAGATAATTATTCACTGACTAATGAATTGTAATATCTCATCTTAAAGAGGAACTATGATTTATTATGTAAAAGTATTTTGAGATGGTGGGAAGAAAAGTCATATGAGAGTGCAAGGCTTATTTTTGTTTTACAATTATTAACTTTGTCAGTATGCAGAAATGTGTCCTTGTTTTAGGATCGCTCCATCTCCAAAGTGTCACACCATTATTTTTGAAATACTCTTAATCTAGCTAATTCATTTCTGTTTTCAAAAACTTTAAAAACAGCTACTATGAAGTTTTAAACTGTACTGTGTGTGATTCTAGGTAATTATGCGAAGTGGTCAGCCACTGACTGGCACAAATGGTAGACGGTGCAAAGAAGATGAGAAGCTGATAAATGCCACCCTCAGGGCAGGAAAGCGCGGCTACATCATCGATACCCGATCTCTTAATGTAGCTCAGCAAGCTAGAGCCAAAGGAGGCGGTTTTGAACAAGAAGCTCATTATCCCCAGTGGAGGCGGATTCATAAGTCCATTGAGAGGTAAAAGATTTTGGAAACAGTGATGGACTCTATTTGAAGCTAATTAGAGTGAGCAAACTCTTAGCTGTTTATAAATTACAAGTCTATGCATTAACTTAGAGTTCAAAATGGACTGGCTATCCTATCATTTGGTTTTGTAAGCAGAAAACTTACCTTGGATGCCCACAGGTGAGTTTTAGTCAAATAGCACCGTTTCTCTAAGTCAGCTCTGAAATTTTATCACCACAAGATCCGTTCCTCTACTTGTAGATCAGTGGTCACCAACCCTAAACAGATATGCTACACATAACTATATTTTCCTAAGTCAAAAGACTAGACATTTAACTTTCCCCATTCCCACCTATTCTCACACCCTGTTTCCTCCACCTAGATCATTTCCTGTGTATGCTTGCAGTTACTGGTTTCTCAGTGCTTCTGGGTAGGTGGGTGGAAGTCAGAGCTAATAAAACAATGGGATCTGGCACTGGCTGGTGTGGCTTAGTGGATTGGGCCCAGGCCTGCAAACCCAAGGTCTCCAGTTTGATTCCTAGTCAGGGCACATGCCTGGGTTACAGGCCAGGTCCCCAATAGTGGGGGTGTGTGAGAGGCAACCCATTGATGTTTCTTTCACACACTGATGTTTCTCTCCCTTATTCTCCCTTCCCTTCTTTCTAAAAGTAAATAAATAAAATCTTTTAAAAAATCAAAACAGAAAAACAGTGGGATCTGAGCTGACTTTGGGCACCCTACTGACAGCACCAGGTGGATCCACGGGAGGAGGATGGCAGATGTCGGCGATGCTCTGTCTGACTTGCCACAGAACACAGTGCTCCAGCCGTCCCCACACGCAAATAGTTCAGCTCTTTGACCAGGGTTTAATCTGTTCAGATGAGAAACAGCTTCCTAGGCATTACTGGCATTTAAAACATCTTTACAATCATGTTTAAATATTAATCTTTCAGTATTTAATCCTCAAGTTTTTATACAGCAAGGCAAATATTTTTATACTATTTTGAGCTATTGCACCTGGATGTATTGGAGGCTGAGTTTTTGGTTTGGTTTCTTCCTTCATTGTTTTTTGTTTGTTTGTTTTTCTTTTCCTTGTGTTTGAAAGGTACCACATTCTTCAGGATAGCTTAATCAAACTTGTGGAAGCTTGTAATGACCAAACACATAACATGGACCGATGGCTCAGTAAATTGGAGTCTTCAAACTGGCTGACTCACATCAAAGAGATTCTGACAACCGCCTGTCTAGCAGCTCAGTGTATTGACAGGTAGAGTACCTTTCAGCGTTCCAGAATGGGACGCACGCTGCTAACTGGACTCTGCTTTTATCCAGATACGTGTTAATATACTAATGTACATCTCAGAGATGTCGTAGGTTCGGTTCCAGACCACTGCAATAAAACGAGTATCTCAGTAAAGCACTTCACATGAATTTTTTGATTTCCCAATGCATTTAAACGTTATGTTTACCTATACTGTAGTCTGTTAAGTATGTAATAACATTCTTTCTTTTTAAAAAAAGTATATACCTTAATTTTAAAATACTTTATCTAAAAAAAAACGCTAACCATCAGAGCCTTCAGCAAGCTGTAATCTTTGCTGTTAGAGGCTCTTACCTTCAGTTTGTTAAAAATGCGGTATCTGCAGAGTGCAATGAAGTGAAGCTCAATAAAACAAGTTATGCCCGTATGTTAAAGTTTGTGCCTATTCTATATCTTATGTTCAGATCATTGTATAAATCACTATGTAAGATAGTCAACAGCATTCATTTATTGAAGATGTGTGTGCAGAGTTTGGCATTTAACTGATAATTAGTTTGTTGAGTGAATTGTGAACCATGTACATATATGTCTTTGATGACACAAGTTTTTTAGGTACCAAAAACCCACTTTTTTATACAATCTTTAAATTACTAATCTACCAATTTTCCTTTTCTCAAACTGTGAGTTTTCTTGTATCTTCTCAGAGGGCCAAACTTGCCTTCCTACTTTTGAAATATCAGTGAATGGAAGTATGTAATTTTGTTGCCCAGTAAAATGATCCTTTCTAATCTCCCAGATACCTTATTACAAATTATTTGATGTGTGCTGACATAACAGGATCTCAAGTTAAGCAAACCTGATGGTGGTGATGTAAAGTATACGAAGTGATTTTAGTGTATTCGGTCAGTTGAGAGTTGCTAATTCTTGAGCCTTGAGGCAGAAGACTTGAACAGAGGCAGAGGACTGGTGTAGGTTCTTGCGGACGTTCAGCACGCCCTTTTTAAGAAGGGATTCATTCCCACTGAAACAATAGGTAGGTATAAGCTATGCCACCATGTAGTTGGATGCCACTTTTCTTTGAGAATTTGATTTGTTTTATTGATGCCTCCAAATTAGGGAACTACATATGTAATTTTTAATGGGTAGTGAGAAATCATGGGTTAGGTCAGTGGCAGAACCAAGATGTCAGGATTCCCAGGCCGTCACTATTCTTTATTTTAGATGAAGCTCATTTATCTAATAAAATATGGGAGTTAAAGACTAACATTATATGGCAAAGAAATGAATAATACAGAATGATGAGATAATAATATTAAGGATTTTGTTTCTTTTTTAACCTAAGTTTAAAAGATTTCCCCTTACATGGTAAGTACAGAGTCTCCTGCTTTCTCATGAAACATGAATGGTGATAGACACTTATCACCATGTTGTCCGAGTCTTCAGCCGCAGGTCTAGGCAACCCTACGTGCAGAACGTATTTGTTACCTCCACCCTTGTGTGGTTTGGGCCGGCCACCTTAAACAAACAGGAGCTTTCACATTCTTTGGAGAGTTGAAGGTTTTGGTGATTTTCCAATATTTGGTTTCCCTTTTGATATATACATATACATATATATACATACATATATACACACACACACACACACATATATATATATATTAGCTTGTTACTTATACCTCCATAAAAATCTGCCCTTATAATTAGTTGCTAAAAATGTAAAAATCAACCTTAAATAATTGAATTAAATTTAGAATATAACACAGATAACTAAGATATGTATTCAGTATATATCAGAAGCCTTAACCTATTTGCTCACGCCCTTTCCAGCCTACTCATTAGATTTCATGCTAAGAATGAGGTTGTTAACATAACCATAAGTTAACACCACGGAGTCTTATTTTTAAATTAAGAGCTCAAACAATTCAGTAACAGACAAAAAGCTAAGTACATCATGAACAGTGTCACAAAAATTGGCAATAACCTTAATGTTCAACCATAGGACTAAGTAAATTGTAGATAATCACTTAACAGAATATTTAATAACCATAAATACAATACTTCTAAAGATGGCATAGGAAAATGAGAAGGTATGTATAATAAAAGTGGGAATAATAAGAAATTACCTTGTGTTAATAGCTATGTAAAGTATATATGTACATAGGAAGATAATTAACAGTAATAACCAAACATGAAACTTCTATGAAAAAGTGGTGAGCTTATTTTCTTTTGTTTTTCCAAAGTTTTCTTCACTGTCATTTGAACATAAGAGGTGGCAGGAGGTGGGGAACAGGGGAGCTGTGCAGCTCAAGTTTTTGTGCTCCCTCCCATTCTCTGTAGAATAATGGAGTCCCAGACACCTCCCAAGTGTCATTGTATCATTGCCACTGACTTTCTAGATTGATTTTTTTTAATGTTTTTTAAATTTTTTTCTTCTTGTTTCATGTTTCTCAAAGTATGGTTCAAGACTTGTTTCCCAGATCCATTCCAGTTTTGAAGCCGTTCTTACAGTCAGCTAGCTGATGGTGAAAGGTAGAATCGAGGTCAGAGAGATACAGAAAAATAATTTTAAGTGTTTGTTTCTAGGTTTGATGAGAAAAGCCTTTTTAAAAAATCCAAGAGGGTAATGTGCTATTTTTGTCACTTATAAACCACAAAAAGTTTGGATCTCTGTTTGGCTTTAGCAAAGCTGCAATTAGAGACTTGACTTCTTGGTTTCCTTTTTTTTTTCCCTCTCTCTCTCTCTCTTTTTTTTATTCTTGTTTATTCTATTGTTTATTTATTCTCTTGTTTATTTTATTCTATTTATTCTATTAGTTGTCTCATTTTTCCCCCTTTGTCCTGCTCTGCCCAGCCCACCCCCCACTCCCGCAGTCAGTCCCCACACTGTTGTCCATGTCCACAGGTCATTCATTGAACATGTTCTTTGGCTACTCCCTTCCCCTTCTTTCCACTATTCCCCGCTCCCCCCTCTGGCAGCTGTCAGTCTATTCCATGTTTCTGTGTCTCTGGTTTTGTTATGCTTGTTATTTTATTTTGTTCATTCGATTCCTCTTATAAGTGAGATCATATGTCATTTGTCTTTCACTGCCTGACTTATTTCACTTGACATAATACTCTCCAGTTCCATCCATGCTGTCCCAAAGGGTAGGAATTCCTTCTTCCTTTATGCTACGTAGTCGTCCATTGTGTAAATGTACCACAGTTTTTTAATCCATTCATGTACTGATGGGCACTTAGGCTGTTTCCAGCACTTGGCTATTGTAAATAACGCTGCTATGAACATTGGTGTGCATAAGTTCTTTTGAATTGGTGTCTCAGGATTCTTAGGGTATATTCTCAGCAATTGAATGGCTGGGTCAAAGGCAGTTCCATTTTTAGATTTTTGGAGAAATTTCATACTTTTACAGTGGCTGTACCATTGTGCATTCCCACCAACAGTACACTAGGGTTCCCATTTCTCCACGTCCTCACCAGCACTTGTTGTTTGTTGATTTATTAATGATAGCCATTCAGACAAGTGTGAGGTGATATTTCACTGCGGTTTTTTATTTTTCATATCTCTGATGGCTAGTGATGTTGTGCATTTTTTCATATGTCTATGGGCCACCTGTATGTCCATCTGTATGTCTATTCAGGTCGTTTGCCCATTTTTTAAAAAAGATTTTATTTATTTATTTTTAGAGAGATGGAAAGGGAGAGAGAAAGAGAGGGAGAGAAACATCAATGTGTGAGAGCTACATCGACCAGTTGCCTCTCACACATCCCCAACCAGGGACCTGGCCTGCAACCCAGGCATGTGCCCTGACTGGGAATTGAACCAGCAACCCTTTGATTCTCAGGCCAGCGCTCAATCCACTGAGCACACCAGCCAGGGCACTTTGCCCATTCTTAAATTGGATTGTTTGTCTTCCTGGTATTGAGTCATTATTAGTTCTTTATCTATTTTGAAGAAAGCCTTTTAATCAACTATTAAAGCAGAAAAGGTAAGTGCCTACTGTGTGTATTAAAGACCACTTTTTGTTTTTGTAAAGGGAGAAAAATTTTAGCTAAAAGTTTCCAAAGGAAGCTCTTTTCAATATGCCTTATTTAGACTCTAAACTCGATAGGGCAGAGCAGAATACATAAGACTTTGTACCAATGAATGTTTAGTATTAGCAGATTCAGTAGACCATGTTGAGAGTATCCCATTTGTACTGTGAATTACCCCATCAGGGAAGGAGCATCCATACTGATTCATGGAACAGAAGGAACTGATTCCACACTCCAGGTTACCTCCCTGGCCCAGATCATCTTGGAACCAAGGAGCAGGACCATCCGTGGTTTTGAGGCCCTGATAGAAAGAGAGTGGCTGCAGGTGAGAAAAGCTATTTTGTAGTGCAGAGGAGCTGTTAATCGTTGATGCTGTGATCTTGGTTTGTGGAAGCTGATATAATGTATGAAATTTTGATTAATTAAAATGTTTAAATTGTATGTTCATTCATTTTCTAGGGGACAGTGAGTTTATCTTCCTCTCAATAAATGGTTGTAATATTTACTGCCTATCAATTTCTGTATGTATCTTTGCTTATGTTGCTCATTTAGCATTTCGTTCCCTTAAACTCTTATTAGTTGTACTTTGTTACCCACAGGGGAAATGCAGAGAATGTAAAACATAGTGTGTCTTCCAGAGCTTAGTCTTGTTAGAGATAAGAGGCATAAACACGGGGGAAGGAGGAGTAGGGATCTGTAATTACAAGGCGTGTGCTTTTTGATGTTCACCTTTTGCTGTAGTCTAGCTCCATCCTGTCTTCTTCCCCAGCCTAGTGAAATTCTCCTCATCCTTTAAAATACAGTTAAATGTCTTCACCTTCCTGAAGCCTTGGGAGCCTTAACCTCCTTCACAGATAGAATTGGTCCACTCTCTTTGTGCCTTATTTCCTGAACTAGACCAAAATAAAGTGAGTTCTTTGAAGTCAGGGTACCTTGGCCAATTCATCTGTTTGCCCTTAGGACACAGCACTGTGGCCACTTAAGGCTGCATGACAACCCCAAAAGAAGGATCTCATAACATAGACTGAAATCCCCCATGTGAAAGATTAATTTGTGAATGCATATACTGTGTAATTTATGAACAGTTGTTAAAAAATAAATGTTTAGATATATTTTGAAAATGAAAGTATCTCTGAAGAAAATAATTTCTGGCCCTCCTAGTTACATTTGGATTTATTGTGTGTTAATGCTGCGTGTACCGTGTCTACCCTGCCTGACTGCTGACCTTCCTCTTGTTAAGTCAGACCATCCTAAATCATGGTGGAAGTCTATTTAGCCATGTTTTTATAACATAGAACAAACGAGTATGATGTACTTATATGTTATCATTTTAATTGCATCAAAATCTCATTAGCCCCTGAAAAATGATCATGGCATTATCTTTGTCACGCAGATGGACCCAAAGGTAAAGCAGGTCTGTGAAATACCTAAAACGGTATGATTTGGGATAAGGTCAGTACTCAGGTTCTGAGTGGGCCAGAGCCGAATGATTCCTACATTTCCTTTGGTCAGTAGATGGCAGGCTCTTCCGGGTTCTCTTGTGGAGAAGAGGGAAACTATGGAGCACTTTTTCTCTAATAAAAGGGTATTCATAAAGATTGAAGGTAACTCCTTTCCCACATGCAACTAAAGACAGCATCAGGAGTGCCCTTACAAAGTTTGTCTGTTACAGCCCCTGTTTATCTCCATTTAGTGGTGAGGCTCATGTAGCTTACAGTAGTCTACAATGCTTTGGATAGGTAGAAGGTGAGAGCCATCCTTCATTTTGTACCTGAAGAGCTTATGTTCTTTGACTTTGCTCCAGATTAATGCAGACCTAGAAAAATGTTTATCATCACTGAAGTTCATTATTCTTCCATTTGCCATTCTAAGGACACTTGTGATTCTTATGGCTGTGTCTTTACTGTACAACGTTGTGAAGTATTTGGAAATTACTCTAAACCAAGAAATCATTATTCTAAACAGCAGTTACCAAAATTACACAATGTTCCATCTGATAAAAGTTTCACTGCACCTACGTGAAATATTGTTCATAGAATGTGGGATCTCATTAGGAAATGACTGCCACATTTTCATCTTTTCTCGTAGGCTGGTCACCCGTTTCAACAGCGCTGCGCACAGTCAGCCTATTGTAATAGTAAGCAGAAGTGGGAGTCACCTGTATTTCTTCTCTTCTTGGATTGTGTGTGGCAGATACTTCGTCAGTTCCCTTGTTCTTTTGAATTTAATGAGAATTTCCTCATCATGCTCTTTGAGCACGCTTATGCCTCACAATTTGGAACATTTCTGGGCAACAATGAAAGCGAAAGGTGGGTAACACTGCTCCCATAGTGGCCATTTCAATGTAAGTTTTTTGGCCACTTCCTACAAGAGACCAGGGTTTGGTTCCACATTAATGCTGCTTAGAAGATGGTGGAGATTACATTTAGTATAAATCACATGAAGTGTATGCTTATTTTGAGTCTATGACATGCTAAGTGAGAGCATATCCTAAGACTTTGTTTTGTTAGATTAAAATTAGTCCATGTACCAATTAAAAAATTTGAGTAAACTGGGCAACCATGTTAAATTACAGTTTCCTTACATAGGATCATCGTGTCTTACCTCTGCAAGAAGCCTTAACATGTAGCCTAACTGTACCCCTCCATTCAGTGTTATAGAGTTGGGAGGGCAATATGCAGATAAGTTAAATGACTAGTCCAGGGCCACAGCCAGCTGGTCGCCAAAAGTAGGGCTACAGCGCAGGTCTTCCTCCTCCTGCTCCAGCCTTTGTCTGTTAAAGCAACGTGTCTATATTTAACTTGGTATCTAAATAATATACTTGACTGTGGACTCTTTTTGGTGTTGTACTTGTTAATATGCCTGAGAACTACATTCAACAAAGGGATTACAAATAGATTTTATCTCACATTCTGATTGCCATTTGGTAGAGCCTACCAATAGTGCTGATTGGGAAGGATTCTGAAGTTGTGTGGGGCGGGCTCAAGCTGAAAAAGTTCAGGGATTGGCTCGCCATGGGCTTGGGGGCAGGGGGCTGGACGGAGCAGTGGTGCAGTGGTTTCCCGTCCTCACCATGCCTGGTTCCTCAGGACACAGTGTGGAACTTGCTATCCTAGCAATTAAATGCTAGTGCCACATGGGTTCTGTGATTATGTGGATTTTCTTTATTATTGGCATAATAATATTCACATAGTTAACTTTCATGAAGCTTATAAGTAAAAGTAGTTTCAGAGACAAAACTAATTTTATGGTAAAACTTCAGCTTGAACAGAATCCTGTGAAAATTTAGCATATTATATTTTTGGTTAATGTAAGGTTTACCATAAATTATCTTTCAATTCTTGTTAAAAGTTTATTTTTTTCTAAAATGTGCCAGTTTACTTTCCATCCCTAATAGTTTATTCCATGATAGAAATTCAGTGTTACAGAATTTCAGGATTATTATGAAGACTGTTCATTGAATATGAACATAGATTAAATCTTTATTTATATCAAGATACATACTTGTTTTTAATCTATTTAATTCTTTTAAATTAAAATACAATCTCAGATGTGAAAAGGCCTTTCTATATGGCTTAATGTTTAACACTGAACCTGACATGACCAGATTCTGGTATTTCCTTCTTGTTGTAAAGCAGTCTTCTTTTTGTTGTTATCGACAATTATAAGGCTGAATTTTCTGACATATTTTTGTTTTACATTTTATTCTGCTAATAAAAGCCTTGTGTTCTGCCTTCTGACATACAGAGAGAAGTATCCTATTAGAAGGAACATTTGATAGAAACTGTCATAAATGAACTGCTCTAAAGGTAATTTTTTTCCTTTGATCAGATGTAAGTTGAAGCTACAGCAGAAAACGATGTCTCTGTGGTCTTGGGTCAATCGGCCCAGTGAACTGAGTAAATTCACCAATCCTCTCTTTGAAGCCAACAATCTTGTCATCTGGCCTTCGGTGGCTCCACAGAGTCTTCAGCTCTGGGAAGGTGAGCTGTGCATCCCTTACAAACTCTTTATCCTCAGCCAACATCTCTGTCAGCTGCCTCTGAGTACATGCTCTTGTTGGTACTTGAAGATGGCAAGGTGGGCCTCACTCTCAGATGTGTGTGTAATCATTTCTTTCTCAGTATTTTTTGAGGAACCCTCACACTGTATTCTGTAATGGTTGTACCTTTTTACAGTCCCACCAACGGTGCACAAGAGTTCTGATTTCTTCACATCCTTGCCAAGAGTTGTTATTTCTTGTTGGGTTCCCCCCCCCCACTTTGGTAGTGGCCATCCTAACGGGAGTGAGGGAAAGTACGTTACTTTCTGTAAGAAAGCTGGTAGATAGTAGGACAGGAATAGGTCATAAGCTCCTAGAAGACGGTTCCTGTTTCCTTTATTAGGCAGTCATTAGGACAGACTCTTGTGCTAACAGCTCCTGAAGGGTTCATGAGGCAGCTGTTCTAGTTAGGGTCTACAGATGTGCACAGATGCCATCCACCAACGCAGTAATGCACACATCCCATTGTTCATTGGGGAACAATAGTCCATGCTTAGTTTTGAAATCTATTTGAAGGTGTTTTACTTACATTAATTTTTCAGACTCCTGAAGCTTATTTCTTTAAATACCAAAGCCTGTTTTTCTAAATAGCTAAAATCTATCTAAAATTTATTAGCCATTCATTAAAAAAGACTGAAAAAATACCATTTAATTTCTCTTTCATCATTTTGAAGGCAGTAAGTTCATCTTCATTCATCTCTGTAGCAAACGGCAGAAGGCTTACCCGGGGATGGTAGCTGTTTGGTAGCTTGGACTGCATTGCCATTGGTGTCAGCTATCATGCCTGGCCCCAGTGTGGTGTGCCCTCCAGGACAAGTCATGGGTGGAGAGCTATTTGCCCTTTACGTGGAAGAGAGTCTCAGCTTGCTCTGCTTTTCCCGGCTTGAGATCAAGTGTGTTCTGTCACTTCTCTAGATGTCCGCTCTCACATCTTAAAGATTTTATTTATTTATTTTTAGAAAGGGAAGGGGGGGGAGAGAGAGAAAGAGAGAAACATCAATGTGTGGTTGTTGGGGGTTCTGGCCTGCAACCCAGGAATGTACCCTGGCTGGGAATCAAACCTGGGACACTTTGGTTCCCAGCCCGTGCTCAATCCACTGAGCTACGCCAGCCAGGGCTCGCTCTCACATCTGTTCCTCTGGCACATCTGTCAGTAGCTGCTTCCTTCCTCTCAGCTTGTGCTTCTAACTTGTCTGTCGAGGTGACCCCTTGTCAGAATTGTGGGAAAGTGGCCTCAGACAGTCTCGAGGAGCTCTGAGTCTGAGCGTTAGTGCTTTGGGAACTTTTGGCTTCTCTTTGCTTCCTCTCCTGATGGTTGTAGACAATCACAGGTGCAGAATAAGCAATCTGTTAAATGAGAGATTTCAGCTATACTTCTTGTTTAAGACTTGTGGGATCATTGACGTAAAAGCCACTGTTGTGCTTAATAACTGAAATGAGAAACCAACTTACTGGGGAGAAAAGCCAGATTTGGGAGGTGAATGACCCAAAGGATGATTTAACTAGTTTTTACCAAACATCATTAAGTGATAGGAGGAAATTTTGTTTTTATGTGAATGGATTCCTACCACTCTATTAAGAACAGTTTCTATACGTGTTCATCGTTCCCTCAACTTAGACCTAGAAGAAATTATATGTTAGGTAAAGTCTTCTCATGGTCAGTAAATGGAGTATAATGAGACTACTTTTTAGCCTTAAAATCTCTCTCTGCTGCTTATATTTACATCATAGTTAACTGCTAAGTAATTCCCATATTGAAGAACAGGATTTTAAAAACAGGCTTATATAATAGAAAAATCAGCACAGGTCACTTGATCTTTAAGCTGTGTTTCTGTTTTCCCTTTCTGATTGAGAGTAACATTTGGACATACATAGAAAGACTCTTTAGGGCCCATGGCAGTTTGGTCCATGGAATGTATTTTAATGAATCATAAAGTCTTTGTGAACTGGCCGGATACTGACACGATGAAAGACTGGGGAGTTTTTGTACCTCCTCACCTGAATATCTTTAAGCCAGTGTGTTGGGATGACAGAGTTAACATAGGTCTATGTAGAGGAGAATATGTCTCCTTTTAGTCCGTAATAAAATAATAATTTTTATTGGGTAAAGAAGCAATTGCCTGCATAATTTAAAGACTGCCTCTTAAGTCACAGGGAGAGAGAGCTCTGAAGTGAAGGCTTTTTTAGATAATAAAGTTGTATGGCTTATTTTTACTGGAACTCATGTTTTCAATAAAAGTGATTTCACACATGTGGGAGGTCTTATAGGTCTGAATAAAGTTCTGTAATTGTGGAAAAAAGATTTCTGTTGTGAAACTGGAAAGTTTTTGCCATTATAAATTGTCAGCTTGTTTTCCTAAATATATTAGAGAACATTATTTTGGTCCATTTCATAATTTTTCAGGGGGTGAAGAATTAATGAGCAAGTATGTACATAAAAATCATGACTTCTTTTTTTTTAAGATTTTATTTATTTTTAGAGAGGGAAGGGAGGGAGGTAGAGAGAGAGAGAGACATCAATGTACAGTTGCTGGGGGTCATGGCCTGCAACCCAGGCATGTACCCTGACTGGGAATGGAACCTGCAACACTTTGGTTCGCAGCCCACACTCAATCCACTGAGCTATGCCAGCCAGGGCATGACTTCTTAAATCATGACTTCTTGTATTTAATTGTACTCTTTCAATACCTCAAGATTCCTACATATTTTAGAGTATAATAAAACACAGATGTGAACTGTGCCCTGGCTGGTGTGGCTCAGTGGATTGAGTGCCAGCCTGTGAACCAAAAGTTTCCTGGTTTGATTCCTAATCAGGGTACATGCCTTGGTTATGGGCCAGCTCCCCAGTTGGGAGTGTGGGAGAGGCAATCTATCCATGTTTCCCTAGCACATCATTGATGTTTTTCTCCCTCCCTTTCTCCCTCCCTTCCCCTCTCTCTAAAAAGAAATAAAATCTTTTTAAAAAGTGAATTGTGAAAAAAAATAATATGTGGAATTATATATTATCCACAACTTTAATGTTAATCCATTGTATGTATCTTTCTCTCTTTTGTTTTCCTTTCCCGGATCAACAGGTATTTTCCTGCGCTGGAACAGATCCTCCAAGTATTTGGATGAAGCGTATGAAGAAATGGTTAACATTATTGAATATAATAAGAAATTACAAGCAAAAGTAAATATCCTTAGGAGGCAGTTGGCAGAACTGGAGACTGAGGATGGGGTGCAGGAGAGTCCCTGAAAGACGTCCCCACATGCTGCATAAGGAACTTCCCGTCCTTGTGTCCCTCCTCTCTCTCCTTTTGCCCTTCAGCTCAGTTTTACACAGTAGCCTTGAACTTAAGGCTTTAGATGTGAGAACCCTCTAATTTAACGGATTTCTCAATACTTTATGAACAAAACTTATTATAATTACTCATGTTTCATGTGGACTCTTAGGCCTTTTTACTTAAAGAGCAGGAAGGAGGTGCTAGTCATTTTATTTACTTTGTGTGAATCAGGTGACTATGTAATGTCATTTGTGTTATATGCCATTTCATCATAGGTTTTCCTTTGCGTCCACTTTCCAGACAGTGCTTCAGACCAGTCAAGGATATGATTAATCTCTTTAAGGAATATGTTAGTTTCAAAAAAGTCCAGCTGTTTAAACACTTTGAATATAGAAATATTTTTCAAAACTGAAATGGATAAACCAATTTATGTTTAACGTGTCATTCCCAATACTTTTGTCATTCTCTTTAAAATAGTTTTGGACTAACAAAGCTGAATTCTGTCTCATTCTGGTTTGTCAAGAAAGAAATTCTGAATATTTATTCAAGATAAATTATTTTTACAAGGGCGACAGGTAAAGTCCTCTGATATTTATATTAACAAGTAAATTTAACAGGCACTAAAAGTATGTGCAATAAAGAGATAAAGTAGGAATTTGTTACTGATATGGTATTGTTACTATTGAATTGGTTTTTCAGGTTTTATCATATGCTGGATATAACATTAAACCATCATTTATAATAAATGTCAATTTGTTCTGATTAAGCTACATATATGGTTTCCTTAAACCAGAGATGCACTGCCCTTGTCTGAAGTTCTTATTGCACTGGTTTATGTACATATGTGTATATTTTATTGTGTTTTGTTTTATTTTAAGTATTCTAAGAGTTTACTAATACTAAGGTTACAGCTTTCATGGTTATTTAAGCCTTTTGAAAATTTATCTTGACCATTACATGTGAGGCAAATGTAGTTCAAGTGGAGGCGAACGTTTAGGAACCTGACGCAGCTGTGTGTTAGACTTCAGATCTGAAATGGTTCAGTGGTGGAGACACAGCGATGACTGTGTTTATGCTGTGCCAGTTCATGCCTGCAACTCGAAAGGCTCGCAGTTCAGTGTTTTCCATGGACATTTCTGTTTTGTGGAGTTGCTCATTTTAACAAATACTATCAATTCTAGTTATCCTTTAAAAGGATAGTTGAAAAGTAATCATTAATACTATTTCTACTCCATCTGTATATAACCATTTCAGTGTAAAATACCAAAACTAAACACTGCTTTAGAGCTATGTATTGACCTAAAAATGTAATTTTTAAAAACTGACTCTATCAGAATCTCTGGCCACATTCAGAAGCCTTAGAAAGTGACAAATTCTTCCTATCTCCAGTTGCCTGTGCTTTATCTTTTTTCTGTTTCCTCAGACTTCTAGCAAAAGGCTGAATGACAATTTGTAGTCAGAACTTTTCTTTTGGTAAACTTTTCTGCCTTCTCCTGTGAGCTCAGTTTTATTCTCACCTTTTTTTCTTGGCTCTAGGTATAAATCTCAGGGCACTAAAGCCCTCCCCAAAAGGCTAAGGCAGGGAGCAGAGGAGATACACTAACTTGATATGTATATGTATCTGTGTTATGTGAAATGTCTATATTTTTTAAAAGGGGAAACACCCTCGCTTTTTTACAAAATTGCTTGCTGCTTTGTTCAGGCAGCTGACCTTTTTTGTTTTCTTCTAATTTTGTCTCAAGACTAGATATGAAGAAGGCACCCTTTTCCTTCTCTGTTAATGGACCCATATGGAAAACCATCTAGACATCTAGAGGGTTTTTTAGTAATTCTGTAAAAGTGACCCCAACTAGTGATATTTCCTGGCCATAGGGCTTCTGTGGGTTTCAACATAGGAAGGAGTTTCGACTGGGTTTGGTCATGGAGAAGTTGTACGCCACCAGTTTACACCCGTCTTCCTGATGTGCATTTGACGTGCAAGTCGGAGTGCAACAGTGTGATGTTTCCGTTTCTTTTTGTTTCTTTTATTGAGACAGGAGTCTTAAGTTGTTTGGATGAGTTTCATTTTAGTATTAATTTACAATCAGAGGACGTCTAAACCTCAGTTCTGATTTTAGCTATAAAAACAAACTTCAGTATCAATGCACTTTCAAAAGGGTCATCTAATAATGTAAATATTAAAGTTTCCCCAAACTTGAGAACTCTGTCAAAAACATGTGCATTATCAATGTAGCTTGAAGAGTGTTTTTAGTAATATTACTAAGTTACCCATCTGTTGGATGAAAATACATACAATGGATAAACTCATAAGACAATACTTGTTAAACATGAATTTTGGACAGTTATCTTTGATAAATGTGGCTTTAAAGAGAATAGTGGCAGAATTAATGAGCAAGCAGATTGCCTCATAGGAGTCAATAATAATCAAGGAAGACACATTCAAGTTCTTGTATATTAGGCATCTTCTGTATTCATTTATAGTGAAGGCAGTTGGTTTACATTTTTAGGAACCAAAAAGTACTCCCCACAAAGAATATCTTAACAATACAAAGGATTGCTATAATCCTCTATCTGCAGTACAAAGGTCTTCAGATTTAGATTAATGATTTTTTTTTTTGATCAGAAGAAAATGGCTGGCAGTATAAAAATGCTGAAACCTTCAGTGGTAGGACTTTTTGGTAATTAATTGGTTGGTCAAAATTTTTCATTTTGATTTTATTTAATGGGAAGAAAACAAGCATAAATTGTAAAACCTAACAGGTTTAAACAACCTATAGATGTGTTTACTTCTAAGAAAAATTCAGACTGAAGCAAGATTTTAAAGTGATTTGGGGGGAAACTTTGGAAGACAGTAGACAGTCATTTCAGACCCCATATGGGGAATTCAGAGGCTTTTCTTTGAGCTCTCAAACCTGATTTAGAGCGGTGACGTGTGTCCTTGCTTTTCATTTTAAAGGATGAAATTTAGTGAGGTTTTAATCTCTGATTCAGTTAATACAATATTTATGTTAAATTAACACACCAATATAACAAAAGATTTTGCTAGTGGTTGTCTTCTTGAAGTGAAAAATAGGGACACTCCGCTGCATTTGAAAAAATTCTGCTTAAAGATGTAACTCCTGTAGTTAATCTGGTTTCAGAATTAACTATTTTAATTGTCAGTCTTAACTGGGTTATCGGGTTCATTTCTTGTAAGACCTTAACCTGAGGCAAAAGTTTTGGTATTTATCCATATCCAGATCTAATGAATGAAAAGCATACGAAGGTATTTTGAGCACTCTTTATCAGAAAGTTATTTCTTAGTCCAAAAACGAGCAATTTTTGGAATAGTCGATCCTCTGTTCTGGCAGCTTTGATGTACCGGAGAATGAAGCAATTCAGCATGTCTTGACACCAGTGCATGTTGTACCTCCAGATAGTGGTTCCCCTCCTCCTCCAGCATGTCAGCTCTCCCCTCCTCCCAGTGCTGGCTGCCGGTTATTACCAGGTAGTATTTTTACGTATGTCATCATCTTGACAGAAAAACATTAAAAGACTGATTTCACATTATTATTTATTCTCAGGTGACATGAAATGCTGATTTTCCTACATTTTCAGTTTTCTGACTTTTGTTTTACTAAGTAAAACTGCTTTTACCTTCACTCAGTCTTTATAATCTAGTGTCCACAGCATCTTCTTCTTTTAAACCAATAGCCCAGGGGAGACCCTCTGAAACTCTGACCAGGCTTTAGAAAATCTGGACTTGTTACCTAAATTCCCTCTGAGAAACCCAGTGTCCTGATTTTGAACACCACTGCGGAAACTCTAGTTTGTGCTTAACTTAGAGAAAGGTGGTGGGGCGGTGAGGCTGACCGTAGACACTACTCTGTCCTGATAAATAACCCCCGATGAGAGCTTGCTGCCTTTTAGATCCACCGTCTAACCGTCTGTGACTAACAGAGAACTGTGTTTGTGATTTGTAATAAAAACAAGCTGTGCAACACTGCCTGTGTTTGTGTGTCTGCCCAGCACTTCTGTTTCCCTCTGAAAATGCACCTGTCTTGGAGAGGTGGCTTATTCCACACAGATACACCCTGAGTTGTGTTGTTTAGAATACTTATAGCTCTATCATCATCAACACTAAAAATGTTGTACTTGCACAACTTAGTTATAAAAAGAATATGTATTTCTTCAATAGCGGGTATTTGAATTGTACTCTTGATATATTTGAATGTGACTCTTGGAATTAAGTGCACTATTATTCATGTTTTACACAATAAAATTGCACTATATGGCAAATGTATCTATAATGTATGCTTTGCTGAAACCTCAGAGTGCTGTAATTTATAGGTTTCTGTATTGTGAACCTGTCTATATATACTCTTTGGGACAAATTCTGAACTTTCATAAGTCTGTATAACATTTTATTATTATTTATAATGTTCCCTAAGTGATAAGTTCACTCATGTCCTAAAATTGGAATCATTCATCTTGAGTTGGATGCTTTGTCTGGCTTGGTTTCCTGGGTTACAGACAGTCTTGTCAAACATGATGCTGTTATTCCATGTGTAAGATTTGTGTATGGTGTGCTCCCTCTGCCTCAGAGGGCTGTTGCACAGATGCTAGTGTTTCAGTTTCTATAGACAATGGAAATAAAATTTGAGTATATTCAAATACTGGTAAATCACACCTGTAGGCTGACTTTTGATTTTTTTACAAATAAGTCATAGAGTAGTACAATGGTCTCCCATACACTGTTCACCTCAACTGAAGAACTGTTAACATTTATTTCACCTTTGAGTTATGCTCTTGAGTGTGCGTGTGTGTTACTTTGTTGAAACATTTGAGGGTAGGCTGCAGACTCCACGCACTTTTCACCTAAGTGGTCGCAGGTGTTAGGAGTATGTATTTACATACTGTTTACTTGGTATGTATTGATATGAATAAATTAACGAGGGAAAAGGAAAAACTACCAGAACAGTTTGCCAACAATGAAATGCAGAATGACAAAATTATAAATTCACTATTTCGCAATCACTACGGTGACAACTGACCTGCGCAGTCACCATTGGTGGATGTTAAAACCAGTGGGATAAAGTTTGTGAGGAAAAGTACATAAAGCACATAGTCTCAAAATATTTTTCCAAAAAAAATAGTTATTAATTACCAAGGGGAAAGTAGCGACTACAGTGAAAGAACCTGGTGGCCACCACCGTGTCAAAGCATGATCAGCACCACCAGTGATGGGACACGGCAACATCGCATGCCTTCTGATGTGATGCACCGAGAATACAGCATCGCTTTTTGCTGACATGTTAGCAAAAACTAACCAAGAAAAGCATAATCTGAATATAATTATGATGTATCGGGCAAACTTAAATTGAGGGGCATTCTACAAAATAACTGCTCTGGATACTTTAAAGAAATTATGAAGCTTATGGAAGAAAAAGACTGAAAATATTTTTAGAAGTTTGAAATTATTTCAAACATTTTTAAAAGCACAAAGTGAACAAAAAACAGTACAGCATATAAAGCTGTAAAATTAAAATGAGAAAATATTTCAGCTCATACAAATTTTCCCCCAATAAATGAAATACTAAATGAGCAGACTAACACATTCCAAAAGGATTATTTACCTTTCAACAAATCTCCCACACACGAAAAAACATCTCATATGAGAAATAAGAAAACTCAGAACAGAAATAGGCCTAAAACAAAACAAATTAGGAAGGTAGAAAACAAGAGTTGAATGAACTCAGGAAATATGAGGAATAAAGACAAAGTAAAGTCATCTTCAAGATGAAATTATGAGACACTCAAGGAAAACTAGATTCAACTGAAAACTTATTACAGAAAATCATGAAAGGCCAAGAGTGAAAATAGTAAGTACAAAGGTCAGAGAGAAAGTGGTCGACAGAGGACACACAAAGAAGAGCCAATGTATGAATAATTGGGTCCCTGAAGAAGAAAAACAAAATAATGGAACAGAACTAATAGTTAAATGTATAACCAAGAAAGTTTCCAGAAATAAAAGGTCTGAGTGGAATTGGATACGGATTAGTCAATATGAAGAGGAAAAATATTCCTGGGGCCTCTAGGTGAGAAGTGTCCGTTAAATGAGGTTGCTATTAGAATTCTCGACAACAACATGCAAAGTAAGACAATACAAGAACTTGGGGAACGTTTCCTGAGAAATGTGTGAAAGGCTGTGTTTCATCCAATTAGGTGATAACTGAAAAACTCTAGCTTAGGGCTCTGTATTGTAACTTCAGATCCAAGATAGACAAAAGTAGAGGCAAGGGTGGGAGAATGTTATGTAGAAATTATGTATTTTGACAAAGTAGAAACAATGTAATTTTTTAATAAAAGGGAAAAAGAATAAGTTTATTGACTGTCATTTAAGTAGTAGAAGTCAAAGATATTTAAACAAAATAATTCAAATTGTAAAATGTCAAGTTAGAATGAAGGTGCCTCTGGTGACCCTCTGGGTATATTACCCAAAAGAGTCGAAAGCAAGATCTTGAAGAGATATTAGCACACCCATGTTCATTGTAGTGATACACACAATAGCCAACCAACCCAATATCTATTGATGTCTGAGTGCATAAACGAAATGTAGTATACAATGGAATATTGCTCAATCTTAAAAAAAAAATAATTCCTGTCACAAGCTACAACATAGATGAACCTGGAAGAAATTATGCTAACTGAAATAAGCCAGTCACAAAAGACAAATACTATAGGATTTCATTTGCACAAGGTATCTAGAGCAGTCAAATTTGTAAAAACAGGAAGTGAAATGGTGGTTGCCAGATTCCTGGGGAGAGAGAAAAGTTCAGGAAAAAAGAAACCATTTAAAAAGCACATAGAACGACATCAACAAATTGACAGAGTAGGCAGATCCCTCCTCTCATTCCCATACAAAATCATCAGAACACAAACTTCAGAACCAAGTTTATCAGAATTCTGGAATACAGTCAAAAGTTTACAGCGAAAAAGAAAATGCTGAATAAACTAAAAGAAAACTGGGGCATTTTTACCTGCTATTGTACTATGCCAGGGGTGTCAAATTCATTTTCACCGGGAGCCACTTCAGCCTCGTGGTTGCCTTCAAAGGGCTGAATGTAATTTTAGGACTGTATAAATGTAACCACTCCTTAACAGTTAAGTGAGAGCTCGGTGCTGCCACTGGATAGAAACAAGGTGCCAGGCTGGATAAAATGAGGTGGAGGGCCAGATTCAGCCTGCAGGCCTTGTGTTTGCCACCTGTGCCCTCTGCCCTCCCTCCCCAGCTCAGTGGCAGTCTTGATACCATGTCAGCCTGATTATCTTTGTGGGGTCCTGGTGTCTGGCTCTGAAGGCAGCAGGAAAGACAGTAAAAGTTTATTACTTTGCTCACCTGTAACCTGTCTGGGGGCTACCTGAAAGGCTGACAGAAGGTGTTCATCTATTTTTCCTAATTCAGAACTCAGGCTGGAAAGGCTGTGAGTTTTGATTGAAAAAAAAATACTGTGAGGAGAACTAAGAAACTACAAATACCTGGCACAAAATATAGTCAAGATACCTAAGGCCTAGAAGGAAAAGCTGGAGCAGATTCTTTGGGAAAGTAAGACATTTTAAAAAGCTTGTGTGTATGGAGTAATTCAGAAGATCACAAACATACCTAAGTTAAAATGCCCGTTTAGAAAAGCGTTGTGAAGACCCAAATTTTCACTTAGGAGTGATCCCTAGATTCAGTGCAAGTTTGGTGTTGAAGGAGGACCCCAACACAGAGCTGATATGCAAAGATTAGAGAAAAAAGTTTTGTTTGCCTGTTTTTAGGTTTTGGGTTTTTTTTGTCCTCACTCAAGGACGCTTTTCTATTGCTTTCAAAGAGACAGGAAGGGGGAGAGAGAAAAACATCGATGTGAGAAAGAGACATTGACTTGATTGCCTTCTTGTACACACTCTGACTGAGGATCAAACCCATGTCCTGGGCATGTGTCCCAACTGGGAATCAAACCTGTGACCCTTTGGTCTAGGGGATGACACTCCAACCAACTGAACCACACTAGCCAGGGCTGTCTTTAGTTATTTCTGTAAACTCCTGGCATTCAAAGAAAATCTCTGCCAAAATATCACGAGAACGTAAGCTGAAGGAACAAACACCTCAGCAATCACACATGACAAGGAATACAATCTTTGAAAAAAAAAAGTTTTGAAAAGTAACTAAACAAATGGACTCCTGTAGCCTTCAATAATAATAATGAAAAAACAAAAAGCCCCCAGCAAACCCTGGGGAAAAGCAAGAATCTAATTTCTAGTGTTATCACATTTGTAATATTTAAATATTCAATTTTCAACAACAACAAAAATTACAAGGAAACCAAAACAAAACAAACCCAGGAAAGTATGGTCCATTTGAAAGAACAGAATAAATGAAAAGAAACTATCCCTGAGAAATTCGAAATGTTGGATTTACTAGAAAAAACTTTAAAATTAACTTTTCTTAAATAGGCTTAAACAGTTAAAGGGAAACATGGACAAAGAATTGAAGGAAATCAGTAAAATATATTAACATATGCAAATATCAGAAACTCTAGAGCTGAAAATTGAAAACTGAAATGAAAAATTCACTACAAGAGTTCAATGAATTATTAGGTCAGGCAGAAGAAAGAATCAGCAAACTGAAGATAGGAATATTGAAAGTATCCAGTCTGAGGGTGACAGGTTCAAGGGACATTGAGAATCCTCCCTATTTATGCCCAAGCCATGACCTTTATTATAAGAATAAAGCACAGGCATGCTCTCTCCCAGGGAGAACTGGCCCTTCTCCCTGAGAAATGAGTACTTTTAATATTTAACTGTTCCTTTGGGGACAACTGACCCTTCTCCAAGAGGGACCTGTTGTTTAGCTAAGTCACACAAAGCCCTTGGCACATAGCCATTTTTGCCTAAAACATATTTAACCATAGTCCCCAAAGTGAGACTTTGGAATCTGACTTTGGAAGGACGCTTGCCTCAGAACTTTTCCAGGTAGACCCTGAATACTGTCTCTGGGATTCCCCAGTATCTGTGTTTGGGTGTTGGTGAACTCCTGTCTGGTGATGTATGATCTTGATTCTTGCTTTTGCTTTGCTCTCAAGCAATAATGTGCTTAGCTATTTACCTTTGATTTGGGGTTTTTATTATCTGCAAATCTGAACCTCCAAGTTAAGTGGCACGATCTCAGTGGAACCTCCATAATGGCACAGAGGGCAGAAAGAAAGAGAATTAAAAACTTAGGCCTAAGAGATCTATGTTACACCATCAAGTGGACC